AGGCAAACAAACAAACGAACAAACAAGTAATGTGTATATAACTCTCTCTATATAATATATAATCTATATATATACATACACATACATGATATGTATCTTCCCTTACGGGTTTGTTATATCTGTCGAGCTGCTTATGTATGTATCCATGCATATCCATGATTGTGTCCTTCTCGCCTACTTACATCATTGTCTACTCTATTTGCTCATGCGAGTCGTCTCCTTACAAAAAAAAAGGCGCCGGGGGGGGGGGGGGGGGANNTTCGGGCTGAAGGGACGTAGGGTTTCCAGAGCAGCATGTGGGCTTTGGCGTCCGGACAAAGGCAAGTGCACGGGAGAGGGGGACGTCGGGGCTCAAGGCTCCAATTAGACTAGGTCTTGGGGGTATATTATACTAGAAATTGCAGTATAAGGTAACCCCAGATAAGCTGTTCTAAGTATAGTAACAGTTGCTATAATTAGAATTGGCGGGCGCGGGATTCAAGACGCNNCCCTCTTTTCCCTGTGAGTGTCTATACAGTCCTGATTTTCTTGTGTTTCCCACCTTACTGGGGGTCCTTACAGACTCCACACAGGTTCTGCTCCGAGAAAGCCGTCCTGTTGCTTTTCTATTAAAATCCTACGAAATTGCCTTTTGCTCGGCTCCTAAACACGGCCGAATATTTAAGACGCCCATGGGCGGTTGGCCCTATGCCGGGCGCGGGGCTTGGCCTAACCAACTGATCTTATGGTAAACACCCGATTCCGGAAAACATCGCCCTTAAACACCAGAAACCACTGTGTTTTTTGATTAAAGCCAAGGTACGTCTTAAATCCCGCGCCCGGCTTAGAATACGGAGTCCTCAAACATAGTCTTGGTAATTATTGGGGCTGAAAGCTCCGGGCATGGAGTTCGATGGTGTGATCTCGGTTTAAGGTTTAGGGGTTTAGGGGTTTAGTGTTTAAGGTTTAGGTTTTAGGCATTTAGGGTTACTTGACACTGCCAGGCCATGTGTGAATCCCTAAACCCTGAACTAGACCTTCTGTGCGTCCAAGTATACCCTAAACCCTGAACCCTAAACCCTATATAATTACGAAGGGTCACAGATGGCGGGAAGGGCGGGTTCCTTGTGAATAAGGGCACGGCTAGCATAGCCGTGTCATGATTAGGTGAATCGAGGGTCCTTACAACCGGTTCCGGTTTAGGGTTTAGGACTTACCGTTTTAAAAAAGTAAAGCCTTCTGAAACCGTTTCAAGCCCTGCGGCAACATCGTATCAAATCCTATCAACAAACCTCATGAAAACTCCTAAGAACCCCATACAGGAAAAGGCTGTTCTCGTCGAAGTCCCTAAAAATAGCCCAGTGGCACGTTGTACTTCTTGCCTGAGCCAGGCGGAGCTTTCAAAGGCTTAGGGTTCATGGCTGTTTAGGGTTTAGGGTTCAGGGTTCAGGGCTCTAAGGTTCTAGGGCTCAGGGTTTGGGGTGTGGGCTTTCAGGACTTGGGGATCTGGAGTCATCGTGGGGTTTAGGGTTTAGGGTCTTTGTGACCACCGTTTTGATTTTTTGTTGGATCCATCTCGGAAAGGACTCCGCGAGGATCAATACCAAGGCCTTTCGATGCATGCACAATCTACTAATTTAATACCAGCGGGGAGAAACTATCACTGTAAACGCGAAGTATTATACGCGAGCCACAGTATGTGTAAGTGCGTATACACGTAACATATGTATGTATGTATGTATGTACGTATGTAACCATGTAACTATGTATGTATACATGTATATATGCATACATGTATGTATGTATGTATGTATGTATGTATGTATGTATGTATGTATGCTTGTATGTATGTATGTACGTATGCATGTATGCATGTATGCATGTATGC